ATAAACCTGTTGGACTATAACCTGGTGTCGTGTGACCTCTGACTTTGTCATTAAAAGTGTGAAGTGATTCATTTTGGAAGGTTGAATTTGAATGCAGAATACAGGGTTAATTGCAGGATTCTCGGCAGTGTGGATGAACATAAGGAACTTAGGGTCCACATCCAAAAATCCCTCAAAGTTGCTACCCAAGTTGATAGGGTTGTTAAGAAGGCGTACAGTGTGTTGGCTTTCATTGGCAGGGGAATTGAGTTTAAGAGCCGCGAGGTCATGCTGCAGCTCTATAAAACACTGGTTGGACCACACTTGGAATATTGTGTTCAGTTCTGGTCGCCTCATTATAGGAAGGATGTGGAAGCTTTAGAGAGGGTGCAGAGGAGATTTACCAGGATGCTGCCTGGACTGGAGGGCAGGTCTTATGAGGAAAGGTTGAGGGAGCTAGGTCTTTTTTCATTGGAGCAAAGGTGGATGAGAGGTGACTTGATAGAGGTGTATAAGATGATGAGAGGCATAGATAGAGTGGATAGCCAGAGACTTTTTCCCAGGGCGGAAATGACTATTACAAGGGGGCATAGTTTTAAGGTGATTGGAGGAAGGTATAGGGGAGATGTCAGAGGTAGGTTCTTCACACAGAGAGCGGTGGGCGTATGGAATGTGCTGCCAGCAGTGGTAGTGGGGTCAGATACTTTAGACACTTTTAAGCGACTCTTGGATAGGCACATGGAGAATAGTAAAATGTAGGATATGCAGGGTAGATTGATCTTAGTAAGATAACAACATCGTGGGCCGAAGGGCCTGTACTGTGCTGTACTGTTCTATGTTCATCCATGTCTATGGGAAAGTTTTCCTTCTTAAGGTAAAGAGACCAGAACCATTTACACTTCAGCCACATAGCCCTAATTATTGGATATGGGAATGGCTATGAAAAAGTTAATATTGAAGTAATTCCAATCAATCTGACAATGCCACAGTCTTTGGATGGACAAATTCAGAAGTCACATGACACCAGGTTTATTTGAAAACACAAACTTTCATAGCGCAGCTCCTTCATCAGATGAACTGTCACTTCACCTTGTGTTTTCAAATAAACCTGTTGGGCTAAAACCTGGTGTCGTGTGACTTCTAACTTTGTCCACCCAGCCCAACACCGGCACCTCCACATCTTTGGATGGAGACAGTTCAGTTCTACCTGAGTACATGAAAGGAGCAGATATATTCTCTCCAGTTCCTGATAGTCCATAGTGAAACATTTGAGCAGATATGTGAACTATAATTGTTAATACAATAAGCCATTTTGTTAACTAAGATAAGTGATAAAGGAGGATTGATGGCAGTGAACTACCCCTAGCCTGGTACCAACAATGGGCAGAGATGGCAAATCCCATTCCCACCAGAGTCCTGTATAATTGGAGTAAAACTTCCTCACTCTTATACTCCAATTCCTTTGTAACAAAAATTAAAAGACCATAACTTCCCTCTGAAGTGGCACAACAATAAATTAAAGTGGTTTGATGGAACTGAGCCAGTTGCTCAAGATGGCAAGCGATTACCACCTTCTCCAGGGGTAACTGGAGATGGGTAAGAAATGCCAGGCTTGCTAACAATGCTGCGTTTGAAGAACGCCTTTCTTAAAATGGCAATTGGCATTCTCTTAGCGTTTCACACCGGGCCTCCAAGCCATCTATGTCCCTTACACGCCTCCTTCGCCTCTGTCAAAATAATAAAAAGTCCCATTTTCCAAACATATTCAATTCTGAAGTCATATCAGACTCGAAACATTAACTCTGTTTCTCTGTCCACAGATACTGCCAGACCTACTGAGTCTCTCCAGCACATTATGTTTTAATACTCCCCACTCGCCTGGATGAGTGCAGCCCCAACAACACTCGAGAAGCTTGATACCATCCAGGACAAAGCAGCCTGCTTGATTGGCACCACATCCACAAGCATCGACTCCCTCCACCACCAACACTTAGTAGCAGCAGTGTGTACTATATACACTGCAGAAATTCACCAAAGATCCTCAGTCAGCCCCTTCCAAACCCACGATCACTTCCATCTAGAAGGACAAGGGCAGCAGATACATGGGAACACCACCACCTCCAAGTTCCCCTCCAAGCCACTGGCTGGGCTGGCATTTATTGCCCATCCCTAGTTGCCCCTTGAGAAGGTGGGGGTGAGCTGCCTTCCTGAACTGCTGCAGTCCATGGACTGTAGGTTGACCCCACTATACGCTTTGGTGGTGGGGGGCGGGGGGGTTGATTTCCAGGATGTTGACCCAGTGACACCGATATATTTCCAGGTCAGGATGGTGAGTATTCCATCACAATCCTGACTTGTGCCTTGTAGATGGTGGGCAGGCTTTGGGGAGTCAGGAGGTGAGCTATTCACCACATAATTCCTAGCCTCTGACCTGCTCTTGTAGCCAATGTGTTTATATGCTTCCGGTCAATGGTAACCTCAAGGATATTGTTAGTGGGAGAATTCAGTGGTGGTAACACCATTGAATGTCAAGGGGCAGTGGTTACATTGTCTCTTGTTGGAGGTGGGCATTGTGTGGTGTAAATTTACTTGTCACTTGTCAGCCCAAGCTTGGATATTGTCCAGGTCTTGTTGCATTTGAACATGGACTGCTTCCCTGCTGCTTGTTCCACTCGAATCCTCTGGAGAAGGCTTCGTATAAGATCAGATAGCCAATGGCAGCAAAACCCACCTTCCGGCAGTGAATATCACTCCCTCAGCACTGTCTCCTAAAGTCATGCATGTGAGATAAAGCCGAAGGAGTTCCAAACTGAGGTGGGGAGGGGGATTTTGAAGGTGGGAGGGGGCGGATATCATTTAATAGGCAGGTGACCTCCATAAAAAGATGGTCAACATCATCTCAATAACCGAAAACACAACCAAAGATCTGGTTTGCTCAACATCTCGCATTCATGTGACAGCCTGCTCACCTTTAAATAGCATTCTTTTGCATTTAAGTGTCATATCCAGATACCTCAGTACAATCTAGACTGAATGAATGCCACAGTGTTGGAAAGGAATTCTTTTGTTAAGCAAAGACCTCTCAAGTGGACATAAAATATTGCCTGGCACTATTCTGAAGAAAATCAGGACAATTATCTTGGGTGCCCCAGATAATACTAGTTTTAAACCAGTATCACAAAAACTGCTCATCAGCATGCTGCTGTGTGTGGGATCTTGCTGTGCACAAACCAGCTGCCACATTTCCTATATTACTTAATTAATTGTACAGCACTCTCTGGGACACCCCGAGGTCAGGAGAGGTGCTATAGAAGTGCAGTGGTCTTCCTTTCTACCTTGTCCCCGGGCAGGATTTGTTATTTATGCCACTCGTGGTTCTTAATTACCTGCGTTGTCACCATGACGATTTTCAAAACTTGCAAGCACAGCTTCCAAGGAAATTGCCGCCTGGCTCTGTATTTTTCACACGGGCTCATGAAGAAATAGTTGAGGTCCTCTCTCAGTCGGCTCTCTTCATCTGCTGCATCCACACCAGGGAATGGGGTGAATAAGACCGATGCTTGGTTCAGAGGCAAGTTATTTACTGACATGCCTGACTGTCTCCTGCAAAGAACATTAAATCTTTAGCTTACAGGAAGGCCATTCAACACTTCCAGCCTGCTCTAATCAGACCATAAGATGTGGGAGCAGAAGTAGGCCATTCAGCCCATCGAGTATGCTCTGCCATTCGATGAGATCATGGCTGATCTGATCATTCTCAGCTCCACTTTCCTGTCTTTACCCCATACCTGACAAGGAGAGAGGTGATGGCCTAGTAGTAATGTCGCTGGCCTGTTAATCCAGAAACCCAGGTAATGTCCTAAGGACCAGATTTGAATCCCGCCATAGCAGACAGATAGTGGAACTGGCATTCAATAAAAACCTGGAACTGGAAGACGGATGATGACCATAAAAATCATTGTTAATTGTCAGAAAAACCCATCTCATTCACAAATGTCCTTTAGGGAAGGAAGCTGCCATCCTTACCTGGTCTGGTCCAGAGCAATGTGGTTGACTCTTTACTGCCTCCTGGGCAATTAGGGATGGGCAGTAAATGCTGGTGTAGCCTCCTAGCAGTGCCTACAGCCCACAAGTGAATAGAAATTCCATCACTGATTAGAAATCTGCTTGATATTCAATGACTACATGAAGCCAAAATCCTCCACCTACCTGGGTTCCTCAGCCTTCTGTATTAAAGCACAGAGAAATCTATCGATCAGAGAGAAATCTATCGATCACAGAATTTAAAACTAGCTATTTGTGGATGAGATTTCCACTCTTCTGTCACCCTTTGAGTGCAGACTTTTTTCCAAACGTCTCTCCTGAATGGCCCGTTTCTGATTTTAACACTGTTCACTTACTCTGCACCCCTCCCATCTCAGTTTCAAAGTGTTTTAAAATAAGGAAGAATGACTTATGACTCCCTCCCGCGTTGTCTGCGACTAGCGTATTCAATGTCCACGTGATTTTATTGTCTGTAACATTGCAAAATGGTGACCGCAATAATTCACAGGATGTCATGACTCATCAACTCACATCTCCTAAACACCAGTGTGAAAAGCACACACTGCATCAGAATTAAGACTGATCTTTAAAAAGATCCCTCTCACAAGTGGATTTTCACTTATACTTCCCTTCAAAACGCCACAAACTCCAATGCCTAACGGTTTCTCTTGGAGTTTTATATCTATTGTCCCCCAGCGGAATGAGAAATGGAAAGCAAAGCAAAGGGACATAGGAACATTCAGCCCTTAAAACTGTTCCTCCATTTAATAAGATCAAGGCTGATCTGTAGCCTGACTCCATTTTCCTGCCTTTGGCCCATATCCCTTCATATCTTTTCTTAACAAAAGTGTATCCATCTCAGATTTAAAATTAACAACTGATCCAGCAATCCACTGCCATTTGTGGAAGAGAGTTTCAGACCTCTCCCATCCTTTATGTGCTGAAGTGCTTCCTAACATTTCTCCTGAATGATCTGGTCCTAATTCTCAGATTATGCCCCTAGTTCTAGAATGCCCAACCAGTGGAAATAGCTTCTCTCTAGCAACTGTGTCTTTTCCTGTTAGCAGCTTGAAGACTTCGATCAGATCACCCTTCTAAATTCTAGAGAAAACAGGCCTCATTTGTATAACCCCTCTTCATAACCTAACACCTGAAGCCCAGTTATCATTCTACAAAACAAAATGTCTGTTAAAATACAAACACCAGCCATTATCTCATTAAGGGCAGAACAAGCTCAATAGTTGATTTCTTATGTAATTCAGAACTAAACAAAAATTAAGAAGCATCTGGATGAACACTCGAACTGCCAGGGCAGAGTAGGCTACAAACCAGGTGCAGGAAAATGGGATTAGTGTAGTCTGGTGTTTGCTGGTCAGCACAGACATGGTGGGCCGAAGGGCCTGCTTCTATGTGGCACGACTTTCTGTGACTCTCTTAAAATGAAAATTCATGTAATTCCTATATTTTCCTAATGAAACAAGCACCACCTGAAATGGCAACTTACTTCGGCTCCAGAATGCCCAATCTTGCTTTGTAAAGAAAATCCAGTAATTTTAGTGAGACAACAAGGTGCAGGGCTGGATGAACACAGCAGGCCAAGGTCACTGCTCTTCCCAAGCTCAGTCTTTTAAAGATGTTTAAGACAGAGATTAACAGATTTCTAGATACTGTAGACATCAATGAGTACGGGGATGGTGCAGGAAAACAGTGCTGAGTTTGAACATCGGTCATGATCTTCCCATTACCATCCCACTGCAACTCATTAAAAGACTTCCCTCTCCATTTTGTATCAAGCATGAGGCAAGGCCTCTCGAAAAACTACCAGAACTGATGCAGTGATTGAACCTATGGGGCTGCTATCTTTCTATACCATTCTCAAGCTTTCTAAGCAACCGAGCCAACAGCAAGTATCACAGACAAGCCCAATGTTTACTGTCCATCTGTAAGCGCCCTTGAATGGATTGTCTTGCTCAAGCCATTTCAGAGAGCAGTTAAGAGTTAGCCACAGTGCTGTGGGTCTGGAGTCACACATATAGACCAGACTAGGTAAGGATGGCAGTTTCCTTCCCTAAAGGGCACCTGATGACTGAGATGTGTATTGATAAACTGACTCACTTATTTATTCACTGAATTTAAATTCCCCAGCTGGGATTTAAAAACACATATCCCCAGAGATTCACCCTCTACCTCTGGATTGCAACCAATCCACCTGACTCCTCAATAAATGTTATCAAAGAAATCCCAAAATCCACAAACTGAACAAAAATTAAATCTTAAAATGGAGAGCTGTTGGGTACAGAGCAAGTTACAGCTGTCCCAGTGAGAATAGGGTTAATCCTTCAGCGGCAGCCAGGAGAATCTTATCTCACTTACCTGTCCATTTGGCTCGTTTGTTTTCATTTAAGTAGCTCCAGGGGCTTTACTGCAGGTTCCGGGAGCAAATTCTGTAACTAACAGAAAATACTGCGAAAGGACTTCAACCCCTCAGACACCATCTGTGGAGAGAGCGAGAACAGTTCACGGTTCGGGACGTGAATATTGACCCCCGGGGAGAGCGGTCTGCTTTTTGTTTTACCTTCTCCCCTGTCCTGCACAGAGTTACATCAGAGCGGTTCTGAGTGAAGATGTCCCCTTTCTCCCCTCGAAGTGGGCATTTGCTAAAGGTTAATCTCTCGCGTTGTCTCAGTGAAGCTGGGAGACGGGGTAATAAACTCTCTATCTCCCGGGACAGCAGAGGAAGCCGAGACCGGGCGAAGCTGGAACTGTGTGTGTGTGTGCTGCTATCAATCGGTCCCTCCCTTCACTAGGGCTCGCTACAGAGCTCTGTGTTAAACCTTGCAGAAACAATGTGGAATCTATCCCTGTAAATAAACTGCCTCCAATAGCTGGCACTGCACCTGCTCAGCTCCTAAGAACACCTTCCAGTGTCACTGTGTGTCTGTGTGTGTCAGTGTCTGTGTGTGTGTGTCAGTATCTGTATGTCTCCCTGTGTGTCAGTTTCTGTGTGTCAGTATCAGTATCAGTGTATGTGTCTCTGTGTGTCTGCGTGTCTGTGTGTGTGTGTCAGTGTCTGTGTGTCTGTGTGTGTGTGTGTCTGTGTGTGTGTGTGTGTGTGTGTGTGTGTGTTAGTATCTGTGTGTGTGTGGTAGTGTCTGTGTGTGTGTCAGTATCTGTGTGTCTGTGTCTGTGTCTGTGTGTGTGTGTTAGTGTCTGTGTGTGTGTGTTAGTGTCTGTTTATGTGTTAGTGTCTGTGTGTGTGTGTCTGTGTGTGTGTGTCAGTATCAGTGTGTGTGTCAGTGTCTGTGTGTGTGTGTGTCAGTATCTGTGTGTGTGTGTGTGTCAGTGTCTGTGTGTGTTAGTATCTGTGTGTGTTAGTATCTGTGTGTGTTAGTATCTGTGTGTGTGTCTCTGTGTCAGTTTCTGTGTGTCAGTGTCTGTGTTAGTGTCTGTGTGTGTGTCAGTGTCTGTGTGTGTGTCAGTATCTGTGTGTGTCTGTGTGTGTGTGTGTTAGTGTCTGTGTGTGTGTCAGTGTCTGTGTGTGTGTCAGTATCTGTGTTAGTGTCTGTGTGTGTGTCAGTATCTGTGTGTGTCAGTATCT